TTTGGCTGGGTGCATCTCTATGCCCTCATTTGAGATTCAGTAACCCAGGTACGAGACTCTGCCCAGGACAACCCCTACAGTGGGACCTAACCTGTCACAAGGCATTTGAAACACTCAAACAACTGTTTGCAAAAGAACCAGCGCTGAAGCATCCTGACCCCAAACAACCATTCGTCATCCAAGCAGACGCCAGTGACGTGGTAGTGGGAGCAGTATTAGAAACAATCAAGGAAGACTTCAGGCTACAGCAACAAATTCCAGATGATACCACATTCTACAGGTGACTCAGCTGACTCACCTATTTTTTTTCTTTTTTAGATTTGTAGAAGGGTATACTGCCCTTTAGGGAGACACTCAAGCCCTGGTCACCTCATGATTGGATAACTGTAACGTGCACTACATGGGGCTGCATTGAATATCATCCAGAAGCTACAGCTGGTTCAGAATTTGGCAGTGTGGACGGCAATGGGAATATTGCACTGCGCTCATGTGAGTCCAGTTCTCCATGAGCTGCACTGATTACCAGTTGGCTTCTGGGTAATTATCATGGCAGAACTCCTGTCTTTCTGAGGGATCACTTATTTCTGATTAATTCGGGCTATCCAGTGAGATAGCAAATGTGCTCCAGGTCCCATTGATTAAACAGTGTCATCTTACAGAACTCAGGAGGAATACTTTCTCTGTTGCGACACCTGCAAACTCCACCTCCCCCAGAGAGCCATACATTTCTCACCCTTTTGAAAAATCATTAAAAACTTGGCTGTTTGCCCAGACCTTTGGAAACTATAATTGTGGAGTTTCTACAAGTTGGATTTTTGTTCTCTCTTCTGTTATAAAATTAGTCTTTTGGTCAACTACACATTTTTTTTCTATATGTAAAGTTGCTAAAGTTCCTGGCTTCGAGCTGAATTGATAAAATTGTTATTTAATTAACTTTATTTTTCTCTCATAATAGCAGCTCAGTGAAGTAGCTTGGTCTGAGAGAGAATAACTGATCCCAGTCAATTCTAAGGAGAGTCTAATGGCTTCTGGTGGACCTCTATGGCTGATGGTTTTTATTATCCTAATTTAATATACTAAATTGACTTTGGGAACCCCTGAGAGCAATTGCTTAGGTAATCCACTAAGATATATCCATAACTGGGTAGATCTTTTTTTAAAGTGTAACAAATGAATATTGTATGCAGATGCCACAGTATGACATCTAGGCTGAGATATAGCATTGACTGGCATAGTTATTTTCAGCTTAGATTCAGGATGACACGACCATAAATCAGCATGTACTGTATTCCTACAAGTGGATAACTTAGGAGTGACACTCCATAAGATTATCCATGAGCCAACAAAAACTAAGTTTTATTTGATATATGTTCATTTGCACATTTGATTAATTCTTTTACATGTGTAATTGTTATTATTTTGCAAACTGTGCCTCTACCAGAACACAGTTTGCAAAATAATAGAATGGACAGAATGGATAGTTTAGTTTCAGTAGCTACCAGCTACTGGTCTCCAGCTTTGGTTCTTAAGAGAATTTGGATTATGAGAATGAATCTATAAAGAGGAATCATCTGGTGATGGTCCATTTCCAAAATTTATATTTGCATCTATCCTATACATGTGCCATATTGCTCACCAAATGTATTCCTCCTTCCCGTAACTTTCATTTGTACTATTCATTTCTACCTGGCAGCCAGCTAATTGTGTTGGAACTAAAGCTTGATAATAATTTGAGGACACTGGAGAGTCCAAAACATTTGGAACAACTTCCCAAAGAAGTGTGGGACATGCTTAGGCACTACTGGAAGGAAAAGTCTACCTTGCATTGATGAGGGTGTGAAATAGTCTGGAGATCTGAACTAATTATTACATTCTGAAGGACTTCAGGAAAATCAATTCTTGATAAAAGGGACCTCTATGCTTTAGAGAAAACTGCTTGGAGCCCCATGTCCTGCAGCTCACCTGCACAACTTAGGTGAGCAGCAAGACAATATACAGTATTTTGAGCAGGCTTCCAAAAAGTTCTGAAACAAATCCCTTAATAAAAAAGATATATTCTTAACACCCATCGGGACTTAATGTTAATACAGCTCATTTTCACATCCGATCTTTCATGTTTAAACGTTTTTGATACTTGTATGTAACAAAGCCCATTTTTGTGAACTTCTTTCCGCAGTATTTATTGTGTTCAGAATCCCGAGCTCTCTGCCTCTCTTTATGTCCCCCCCCCCCCCCCGGCTTTCTATCTGCCGCTTCTCTGGGGAGCAGCCTTGGGCTTTGGCTTGTTTCCAACAGCAATGATAATTAATTCCACAGTGGGCTTCTGTAACGCCCCCACCACTTGTACATGCTGCTTTGCACCTTGCATTTACCCTCCCATGGTGCATCTGAATTAATAAGCTGCTTCTCAAAAGACAGTAGAGAGAGCTTCTCTTTTTCACTATATATATATATCTCTCTCCTTTCCAATTATGGCTGGCAATTGCAAGAGGAGCGTTGGCACCTGGTTCCTTCCGGAAGCTCTGGAACTGTTTTCAGACAATGAGGAAAAAGATGTTATTTTCTGGGCCTGGAAACTGCATGTGCACTGCTGTATTAGTGATGTTTTGCACTCTTAACATCATCTTCTCAGCAAGGATTTGATGAGACTTGACTTAGCCCAGTACAAGAAGTTGGGATCTTCCTCAAGGATGCTGAGTGGAGAACAGCAGAGCAGCAAAGGATAATGTGTCAATAACAAAATCATTATACAAATACTGTAAACTGAGTATTTGCATAAAACATCAGGATGTAATTTTGGCATTGCTATGGTTTGCCTTGGATGTCGCTGAGCCCATTTTGCTTCTCCTAAAAATACTAGTGGCTTTGACCCAACATACTGGTATTATGAATCATAATGACAAATCTGAGCTGGCAACAGATGGCTCCCTAGATGTGGTCAACCCCAGAAGACACGGTCAAATGTGGAAGATGTAGTCTAAAATCTCTGCAGGCCTTGCTGTGTCCTGTTTTCCTAAGGGATTCTGAGTTCAATTTTTTAAACTTTACAGAGGATGGTACAATAGGAAAAATTCCATCCAGTGAAGATGATCTTTAACCACTGCAGCACGTTGATAGGATGCACGGTAGCAATAGATAACAAATGCAGAATGCTATGTGTTCAAAATGTTCTATTATATTTATTTGTTAAGCAGAGTCTTGACTGTCCTTCAAATCTAACAGCTCCCAATTTGCAAAACAAATTAAAAAGGATCCACAGTAAAACCAATCAAATCTAAAAATAAATCCCAAACTCCAGCAAGCAGTGAAACCAAAGAGAAGCATCAGGAGTGCAATCAAAACAAAACATCAGAATAAGCAAAACAAATAGCAAAAGTAAATTGCTTAAGGCTACACTAGATAGGACTTCAGGCTTGTTTCGGAATAATGCCTGTATCTTAAAGATGTGGTCTGCAATCCAGATTACCTGTAGCAGGAGAACTGACTTTTCTTTACATTTTCCCCCCCAGAAAATGGCTCCATCATACTTCTGCCTCATATTTAAAAATAATCTACTACAAATAGTTCTCAATTTACAGCCATTTGTATAGCAATGCTTCAAAGTTACAATGGCACTGAAAAAAGTGACTTATACTTATGACCATCGCATAACAATGGTAACAATGTTCAAAATTCAAATGCTTGGTAACTGGCATGTATTTATGGCGACTGCAGCAGTCCAGGGACATTTAATCACCATTTCTGATCTTCCCAGCCAACTTCCATGAAGGAAAAGTCAACGGGGGAAGCCAGAGTCATTTAATGACTGTATAATTCGCTTAACAATTGCTTAACAACAGTGGCAAAAAATGGTTGTAAAATTGGGTGCAACTCACTTAACAACCACCTTGGGTTAGCAATGGAAATTCTAATTCCAATTCTGGTCCTAAGACAAGGACTACCTTTATGTTAAGGAACCATGTATTCTATAAACCACTGTTCAACATATTTGGATGTCACTGCAAAGAGCAATTTGTTGTAATTTACGCAGCCATCGTTTTCATGCTTCTGTTCCTTTTCTTTGGGAGATCATAAGTCTAGGCTTCCTGTTAATGTTCTGGCTACAGAAGGAGACAGTATACAGTTTAAAATGTGCCAAAAATTGAAACTGGAATTAGCTGTGAATCCATTTGACCTATAGACTCAGAACTAAAAATAATTTTAAAACTGAAGTGCTATACTGTATTAAAAAAAACAAGCATGTTTCTCTACAAAATGAAGAAAAAGTAGCTAACAGAGCTAGTTCTAAAACAAGTTAATGCAGATGGTAAAGTCAGTAAAAGGCAGATGTCCTTGAGATGAATATTAATGCATTTGAGAGGGAATATAAAAAGTTATAAAGTATGCCAATTACATATATAAGAAATACGATAAAAGATTCAAGATATAGATCTTGTTTGAGGTGAACCTAAGTTCACTAGAGATAAAAATAGACTTTTATATTTACTATTTTTAAACATGTTTATATAACTAAACTGTTTTGGTAACTTTATTTTCAGTGTGTTTAGGTTTAGAACAAAATATTACACACTGTCTTCCACAAACTTGAGAAGAATTTATGACATATGGGCTTGATATTTTGCTTTTCTCCATGCATCAGTGACCTATGCTCATCTAGGAGAGCATCAGGTTGAGGAAAACTGATATAGACATAATAACAGGAACCAGAAAGAAGCTAATATCTAGTTGCTGGTTTTGCCCAAAGTTAAATTAGTCTATCTCTGTGAAATGAAGACTCCCCTTTCATAGGATTTATCTAAAAATGTATGCTTTATACATTGCTTGGTGTAGTAGAATGAGCCCACTGCGGAGGAGGAGGAGGAGGAGGAGGAGGAGGAGGAGGAGGAGGAGGA